ATACATTTGTCTATATCTATCTCGATTCGTTTTGGCTGTTACAAACAACCGTTATGTGAACAAAATTAATATACCCTTGTGCACAAGTGCGCTCGGGTATAAAAATTATACCAAGCATTTCCCTGCGACTGGCAAGTGTAGGAAGGTTAATAAGTTTTAAGCGACTCGTATAAGGTGGAAGACTATATTGAGAATCCCATCGGAAATTTCTTAAAGCAAAAAGTAGGAATTGTTTTTGAATTGATTCTATCTATGTCTGAGTAAATTTGATACCTTGGATTCCAAACCACCGAGCCGTATTCCAGAATCGGCCTAACTAATGTTGTAAACAGGGTTTTAGTGATATACGGGTCACTAAATTCTTTTGACCATCGTTTCACAAATGCAAGTACACCTTTAGCCTTGTTGACTGTCACATTAATGTGAAGATTAAAATTAAGCTTAGGATCCATTGTGATACCAAGGTCCACAAAATTGTATACCTGTTCCAGGTTATGGTTACCTATTATATAAGAAACTGGCAGAACAGCTCTTCGCGAGAAGCACATTACTTTACATTTCTTAAGATTTAGAGGCATAAGATTTACTTTACACCAGTAAGCCATGCTGTTTAAGTCTGATTGAAGCAAACACCTTTCTTCAATTGAAACGTACGATTTATAAAGTTTTACATCATCTGCATACATTATATATTATATTATATTATATTCGTATAGCAAAAGCTCTTCATGAAAATAATTTTGAATATTATACTAGAACAATGTGTACACTTTCATTTCTCGCCTAGTGTAAGTAGAAATACTATGTATTTTGTTATTGCTTTTTGGTACCTACTTTAGGTTATCAAAACGAAAGAAATTAGGCGATAATTTTCTTCACTTCGTTCGGCTGACATCTTAAAGTACCAAAAAGCAATAACACAATACATACATATAAAATGCAACATATTCAGACACAAAATCAGCTGATCTACTTGGTAACACCACCTTGTATTAACATGCTTTGCTGCTGTTCCTTTTGATTTTGAGACCACTACTTTTTGAGGGCAACATAAAATTCATATTTTTAATGACAATTCCTTTCAAAAAACGTTTAGTATGTAACCATAACTGAATCTTAAAATTACACAATTAGATACCGGTGTTCCTGCAGTGCTACATATAGATTTCTGCGTACATAAATACAATGCATTTGAATAAACTAAAATTAAAGTAATAAAATCCTTATTTAAATATGACGCTTTTTTCACTTTAAATTATTACATAACATTGGCATAAGTACGTATGTATGTAGATATGTTATACATACATATATACGTTATCGTACCTTGTTTCAAACGCTGTGCTTATCAGATCGGCGGGTAAGCTAATACGCATCTTGGCGCGCTTTTTTTTGTTTTTGTTTGCTTGCGGTTGCTGCTGTGGTTTATTTAAGTCGATGAAAGTTACTGACGTAGCGATTAATTCGAGTTAATCGCGTTTTATATGCGCTTTGCTTATGGATTTGTGCAGTTAATATCGTTGATTTGCTTTCGTGCTTATACTGCAATATGTATTTTAATGTGTTTTTTTTTTTTTAAACTTAATTGTGGAATGATTGCGTGACCTTAATTTGACTTATCAATATAATTTGCCTTTTTATGTTTTTTTTTACGATTTATTTGTATGTATTTTTCAGTTACTTGCAGCGCAAATGTGTATAGTATAAGTCGATTAGAGTTTTAATTTTTTGCCGATATTATATATTTGTATTTTAAAAGAAATACTTTGCATTCCATTTTCAAGCACATATATATGTATATCACAGTTTGTTAGCTAGTAGTTGAATTTTCCATTCAAAAGCATTTAAGTTAATTTTATTAGAAGCTTTTACTCCAAAAACACAGTATTTCATGTAGAATACTTATATTAAATTTCGAAACATTAATCCTTGTGAAACTAGTTTTCCACAAGTTTTCTGCTGCTTCTGAGCTTTTTTACTGCGTTGCTTTCAAACTTAACTTCACTACTTTCACCTTCGATTTTTATTAGAAAATAGCTGTTGAATTATGTATATTTCGCGCTTACTGAACTGCACGTTGGCAGCTCTCATGGACAACTGATTTTAGCCGCGTTAAGGGTAGATGTTAGTAATGCAAAAACCAGCGAGATCGGCGCTTCGTGCAAAAATTTTAATCACACGCACGGTAAACCACCTACAAACATACATCTATCTACATACATACATACATATGTATATATGTACATATCTGTATTTATCAGTTTGCTAAGAGTTTTAATTTTGCACTAAACTCGTAAATTCTCATTTTACAGTTACTTTAATTAGATACATAGCGCATCAGATAAGTCATTTAAGTCCTTAGTACGCTTATTTACTTACTTAGATTTTATGATAGGAAAAAAAATTATTAGCATAAATTCTTTCAGCCACACTTACATATGTACGTTTGTATACAAAAGCATTTTCAGAGCAATGTGCCACAGATAGTGAGCGCTTATCAGTACACACATATTTATAAAATTGCTATTTATGTTCCTTTGCATACANTAAAAATCCGAAATAATTTGGCGAATGGATTAAAAAAAAAATCAGAATTTTATGAAATTTGATTTCCAAAGGTTCTATGAGTCGCTTGGGTCGCTGATTAAGTAGTGAGTTTTAAAAACTCGATAAAAAATAATCATTATTTTTAGGTTTTTATTATTCCGACAATTTTTTATCGAAATTTTGTTTAGCCGCGGCGATACAAAATTTCTATTTCAAATGAACGATTATTTTTGATCGAAAAATATCGATAACATTTGACCGATAGATTTACCCATAGCGATATATCGAGCCCTAACCGCCAAAATAACGTAAGCGACATTTTTTCCAAAATTTTGTTTTTGATGCAAATACATGTTGGATAACGAAACTGCAAGGCATCTTTAAGGAAAGGATCATCATATAACCGATGGTGCATTTGCGTTTTAAAAAGAGATGAAACTTGTAAAAATATGCGAAGTGCGGAATGTAGGGGATGAGTATGGAATTAGCCGGAAAAAAAGTAAAAGATATAGATCCTTTTAAAATCATTAAAATCGGGTTTTTTTATTCTTAAATTTATTTTCTACTCAACACCTTCGAGTTTCGACGAACAAGTCAATAATTTCATTGAACATTTGCTCAAAATGCTATTACCGGCTCCATCGTGTGAATCGGAGTTATCTATGTATCTACCAGGCTCGAAGCAAAAACATATTGATTTGTTGTTTTCAGGGTAAGTTAAACGGTTTGCTGTTCTCGCAAGCTGGAGATTTTCCCTAAAAATTTCCATTCACTTCTTATTATCTATGTATGTACATATGTATGTATGTTTGAGCGTTTTGGCTGTGGGGTAATATGTGAAGATAGTCCATTTACATTAACTAGTTCAATGTGGTCTTCGAGCTTTGCGCGTTTCACAACGATTGTAAAATCTACTGACACATCACAAAACTTTTTGAGCAAATTAGAGTCACCCTAATAAATATAATTACATATAAATATGTATGTGCATGCAAATACTACATACCCGCATAAACAGCACAAATGTACTTGTCACGAGTGAGCCAACACTGAATTGTTGTTTTATAGCTGCTATTAAATGCAAATTGTTTGCTTTTTGTTGTTGCCAACTATCACTTCCAATTACAGATGTTATTTATTTTATGAATTCATGTTTGCATTTGTAAATGTTTTTCTTCTCGATTCGCACATACCGGCTAATGTTGTATTTGTATTTATACCGTTGACTGATCGCGCCATAGCGCGTGTGATATCAACAAAGGTCATTAGATTATCATCTGCATTGCTGCTGCTCTTACATGTGTGTACTTTGTTTTTTTTTTTTGCAGCTAAGCGTCATAATTTTCCATGTACATAAATCGTAGTACACTCATTCATTTATTTTTATTGTTTATCTCAGACAATGCCCTCAGTGAACATACGAATATTTAACTAAATAAATATACATATACATGTGCCAAGAATGAAAAGAACTGACGATGAAATTCGGATATCTCCTCCGTTTCCAAGTTTCCATTTCTGGAAGTTTTTGGAATAATGAAGAAATTAATTTTACAATTATGTATGATCTCTAATGCCCTATTTGCACTAAGCTTTTAAATATTTAATACAACTACTGAACCAGTATGGCGTTAAAACGCCAAAATTTAATTAGTCTTTTTAAACTGGTGGCAACCCTCCACCAAAAACCGTAAAAAAAACTCTAAATGTTAGTCCCAGCTACAGGCCAAGCGCATTAAGTGCACAACCCATTTTTGAAATTCGAAAGGACAGTGAAAATCTGATGACTTCATATTTGATAATTCCTAAAAGGTGTGTATAATTTAATTAATTAAGATTTTTAAAAATATTTTCAAACTAAAATCTTCTTCAACCTCATTCGAGTGATAGCCATACTGTGATACATATTTCAATTACCTATGTAATTGCCCTAATTCAATTTGAGTTTTTAAACACGTGGCAACCCTTCTAAATATAGTTCAGAAACCAAGCATTTTCCAATTCATTTCTATTGATACGAATCTTTTAAAAATTATCTTATCTACAAATGTTTAAATCGAAGATTTCTTAACACTCTTTCGTTTGATATGCATATTTCAATAACAATTTCCATTGATACCCATTTTGTAATAATTGATTTAACTTTCATCCAGGATGCCAGACTTCAAAGTATAGCGAGACGTATGGTTATAATTTCACATAAAAATCTGGAAAAAAAATCTGAAATACGTTTTTCTACGATGATCCATTCAAAATCACATGCAACCTAATCGAAATTGTGCTTGAAAGTCGTCACTCCACAATCACTTCACTTTTCCTACCAAGTCACTCCGAAACGCTTCACTTTTTGTCTGTTTTCACTTCGCTCCAAAATTAGCAAACGGCAGCAGTGCAGTATTTCTGTTCAAGTATTTCAGATTTGCAAATATCTTCTTCCACTCAGCCATCGATATGTACTTACATACATACATACGTGTGTATTTTCTATAGCAAACAAGCTTGAAAATTAGTAATAAACCGTAATGAGATTATCAAATAAAATTAATAAATTTGCATTAAACGTAAAATTTTGTTAACAATAGAGCGATAATAAAATTTTCATGCACTAAATTAATTTTCAAAAAGATAAAAACAACTACATATTTTTCTAATAAGCTAGCTCGGCATACAAGTACGTCATTAGACCGTACCACCTTACAAGCAAACAAAAAATAAGTTCGTCATGCACCCCGAGTATAAAGTATTTTTGCAAGGCGATTTCGAAAAAAAAAGTTTTTGACCGACATTTACGGCTCTATTCTGCATCAATGACAAATTCTTGTCACAGTTTTTTTTACGGAAAAATATATGGAAAAGTTGAAATTTGTCAGTAAAAAATATTTGTAACCGATACAGAATTGGGCTATTACATTTACATTTTTCGGTTATATCTTCATTCGGCAAAAAAAAAAAAATGTTTTTAAATAGTTCTAGTGGAATAATCGAAATACTGCCTTAGCAAAAGTTTAATGATTTTTGGAGAGCTTTAATTTTCTGACATTAAGGTGATAAGTTAGGCTGATAATAACTGAGATCTGGTGGGTAAGTACTAAAGCGACGAACTTGAGGTGAACGAATTTAGGGATAAAAACATCGATATATCATACTTAAAGATTTGACGGTAAATGCCGAAGATATTACCGATTTTGTTTTTCGAAATGCTCTTGCAAAAATACTTTAGATGCAGGGCTGTACGACGAACTTTTTTTCTGGTACGGTCTAATGTATGTAAATATGAATGCAGGTATGTTTCACCAATTTTTTGCTAATTCAATAGCTTGTGAGTAATTTGTTACTTTCTAAAATCGTTTTATGTTCATTTTGTATGTATGTATTTAGTTAATCTTTGCACTTGAATTGACTTAATTTTAACACTAATTAAATGTAATTTAATTATTATACAAATTAGCGCTGCTATGTTAAGTCAGTGAGTGAATGCGAGAAAAGTGTGGCACACTTAATTAATGTTTACGCTTTGCGCATACTTAAGGTAAAGTCATGAGAATTGACGTGAGAATTCTGTTTACTGCATGACTAGTTTTCAAATTATGTATCAATTAAGTAACCGTAAGTGTATAAAAAATTTTGTTATCAAAAGTGATCATGTTATCCAAATTTATCGAATTGTCATAATGTATCGAGTTCTTTGAACTCATCGCGCTATAGATACATATTTATTGATTTATCGATTTTTTTGTTTTGTAGTTACCGAAATTTGTCAGTTTATCGAATCGAGAAGTATATCGAGTTATCGAAATTTTTGGGGTTATATAAATTTATCGAGTTATCACTACTTATTGATTTAGCATATTTTATCGGAATAAAAGAATTAATCGAGTTATCGAAATTTTTAAATAGATATCGAAATTTATAGAGCTATAAAAATTATTTGCGTTATCGGAATTTATAGTTATCCAAAGTTTATCGCGTTATCGGGATTTATCGAGGTGATCTCACCGAGAAGTTATCGAGTG